CACACACACACACACACACAGTGTCTGGGGAATAAGTGGCGGCCAGTTGTGCGTCGGCGGCGCCCCCCCGCTCCCACCCCTCTTTTTTTTTGTGCTTTGCTACTCACGGGCTTGTGTGCGCTGCCTGCGTTGTTAACGAGCCCTTCTTGCTTTCCCAGCTGCTCCTTACTGGTGAAAATTGTTTTTCTTTATGAGTCTTTTCTTTTGTTTGGTTTTGGCTTTGAGCTGCGGGTTTGCAGCGAGCCTTGCCTCTGTGGCAGTGAGCTGCGTCCATCTCCAATCGCCTTTGTATTCGCGTCTCTTTCTGTTTCTGAGGCTGCGCGTCACTTCGTTTCTGTTTCTGTTTTCCCCCTTTTGCTCTGTCTCCCCTGGTCGTATGCGGGCGGAGTGACGGTGTGCGTGCTGGAGGCCTGCGCGGGGAGTGGCCGGGCCGCACGCGTGGCGGCTTGAGCATCGATCGCCGTGCTCTTGTCTTACCGGAGCGGATTGCGGGGGTGGGGCTCAGGACGCCTGCGGTGCTCTTCCTCCTCAATGGGGGAAGTGGGGCCTTGACGGCTATGCTTCTTGTGAGCATGAAACGAGTCTTCATGCAATGCAACTTCTGCTGGGCCGCCTGCGCCTCATAGGCACATGTGTCCAAAGCCGCGGCCGCTGGGACTGTGCTGAGTGCTTCAACGATCCATCCCGGCGCTACTGGTGGCTCTTCTGTTTTTCTTGCTTCTGCGCGTTTCAAACTGTGTTGAATACCGAAACGTCCGCGGTAGATGGGGTATTCAAATTTGCTGCGCAATCTCTTCGGGCTTCTTCTCGCAGCGCACACCCCAGGGGGCGCCTGCATCGCCGTCCGGACGGGAGCCTCTTCCGGCCAATGCGGAATGCTGCCGCGTTCTGCTCTCTCCGGTGTATCTGCGGTTTCCGTTGCCTGTGGGAGTAGTTTACTCTCACGCGTGGGCTGTCACTCATGGATACTGGGGCGTGTGAGCCAAGAGGGTCTGCGAGCCGACAATGTGGGGGTGGCATTCAATGACGGAGACACTTCTCTTTACAGGTATCGACAAGGTTCAGCGCGCCTTGGTGCATTTTTTTTTTTTAGCCACAGCGGGACCCACCGCTGATACGTTTGACGCTGCAGCGGTGCATTCAGGGGAGGATGCCGTCTCCTTTGCAACTTCCGAGCGGTGCGGCACACAGCGCCCCGCTGCCACACCTGACTGCTGCTGCGGGGCCAGAAGAACCGAAATCGAAGCATTTTTTTTGTTGTTTAGTATTGCACATATCTGGGGGACTGTGCAGACATCTGGCAATCAAACACCTTGCCCAACAACAAACGAAAAGCACCAAAAAAAAACCTCACTTTCCTTGTGCTGGCGGCTCATGTGGGGCGTGTGTGGGCGGTGCGCGTGGCGTCGCGCTGTATGTGCGAAGTGCTGCTCAGCATTCCGGTGCGCCGCCCAACCTACCGCCTACCGCGTGGCATTCTGAGCACTGACTACGATCAGCGACCCCCCCCCTTTCGCACCGCACAAGGGGTCCTTTGCCGTTCCCGCCATTCTCCGCTTGCCTGGCAAACCGCAGGGATGGCGACCCCACTTGCCCCCCATCCTCAAGCACGACAGTCATGGATTCATTGGGTGGTGTACCGCACTCCACGAGCTCCGGAGGAGGCGAGACGTCTTTTCTATGGAGTGGGGGCTTATAACTGGGCTTGGACGCAACGGGCACGCGTGTGCTCACCGCTCCGGGGACATGCATCCCGCCGGTGACGCACCGAACTTCATTTGGCCTTCGCGTCCTCCGGGAAAATGAGATCTTATTTTTTTAATTTTTTTTTTTGGTTTAACAGGGAGCCTCTCAGGAGCCTACCAGGCAAGGAGACGCCTATCCATTTGTCATGATTCCACGTGAATATGCTTTCTCCTTGTGTCCTTGCAGGCGGTTTTCGACGCGAATGAAATAAAGAAAGACGCGCTTCTTTTTTTNACGTGAATATGCTTTCTCCTTGTGTCCTTGCAGGCGGTTTTCGACGCGAATGAAATAAAGAAAGACGCGCTTCTTTTTTTGTTTTTGACATCAGACCCGCCGCCAACTTCACCTCCTCAAGGCGGTGTCGTGTGGATCGGGGGATCCCAACAACTACTGTTTCGTAAGTCTGCGGAAAGCGGCGTGATTCCATCTCCCTTGTGTTGCCGTGTGTGCTCGCATTGTGGATAGGAGACGCCGGTAAGTTGTTTCCTTCCTCTTCTGCCTCTTTCTTTCTCTCTTTGTAGATCCAAGAAAACGACGACTACACAGCGCATATTTCCATTGACAGAGCCATGGTGAATACAGGCAAGAGCAAGCAGAAGCGTCCTTCCTCGAGCGGCGCTGCTCGTCTCGCGCGGGGGCATCCGCCTGGCAAATCCCGCCGGACAGTCGGAGGCTCGACCGTCCAGCCCGACCGCGTGGGCTCGGCTGACAAGCTTAACGGATTGACAGCAGAGGTGTCGGCACTGGAGAATAAAAAGGCACAATTACAGGAGGAACTGAGGAGACGGCGGCGCTCAGGTAACACCGGATCGAGAANTCGGCACTGGAGAATAAAAAGGCACAATTACAGGAGGAACTGAGGAGACGGCGGCGCTCAGGTAACACCGGATCGAGAAACTGTGCCATCGGCAGTATGAAATTCCTCCGCACGGAGGAAATGTGCGGCATTTCCGAGATTCATATTGCTGGGAAGGTGCTTGGAGACAGCGACCTCAAGGCTCTCCACACGTCTCAGGCGCTTACCCGAATACACATTTCCAACTGCAGTGGCGTCTGTGACGTGAAGCTTCTAGCTGACTTGAAGCAACTACAGGAGCTGCACTTGGAAGTTGATGGTAAGATACGGAACATGACCTCCCTCGGTCAACTAGCAGAACTGAGAAAGCTATCATTGAGCAGCGCAAACATACATGGTAGCGATGTGCGTTGTCTGGGCCTCCTCCAAAAATTGGAGGACCTCTCTCTTCGAACCTGTTCCCGGGTGACAAGCTGTCAGTGTGTCGGCCAACTTCCACTCCTTCGGGCGCTTGATCTAAGCTTTACCGGCGTCACCAATGAAGGACTGAAGGGTCTCAGTGCGAGTCGCAGTCTTGTGAAGATTCAACTCCGCGGCTGCAAGCGCCTTACAGATGTGTCTCCTCTCGCATCCATCGAGACACTGGAAGTGGTGAATCTGTCTCGGTGTGAAGATGTAAAGATTGTTGGTGACCTTGGCGGGCTGCCTGTGCTGCGTGAGCTCAACCTGCGATCGACTGCCATCACGGATGAGGATCTGCGCTGCCTCTCTGCAAGTCGGAGCCTCGTGAAGATTGACCNACTTGAGTCGCACTGCCATCACAGATGAGGAGTTGCGTTTACTCCCTGCAAGTCTGCGTCTCGTGAAGATTGACCTTCAAGCCTGCGAACACCTTACAGATGTGTCTCCTCTTGCATCTGTGAGTACTCTTGTGGTGATGAATCTCTCTGGCTGCAGAGGTGTGAAGATTGTTGGCGCCCTTGGCAGGCTGCCTGCGCTGCGTGAGCTCAACCTGCGATCGACTGCCATCACGGATGAGGATCTGCGCTGCCTCTCTGCAAGTCGGAGCCTCGTGAAGATTGACCTTGGCGGCTGCAGGTGCGTGACAAATGAATCTCCTCTTGCGTCCATTGCTACGCTGGAAGAGGTGAATCTCTCTGGTTGCAGAGGTGCGACGAGCGCGGCTGCCTTTTGCACACTGCCTGTTCTGCGCTCACTTGATTTACAATCGACCGCTATCTCAGATGAGGAGCTGCGCTGCCTCTCTGCAAGTCTGCATCTCGTGAAGATTAATGTGGCAGAGTGCGGGCGTCTGACGGATATTTCCCCACTTGCATTAATGGAGACTCTTGAGGAGGTGTATCTGTGCGAGTGTGCACGTGTGAGGTCGTTTGGTGTCCTTGGCACGTTGCCTAGGCTGCGTGTGCTTGACTTGAGTCGCACTGCCATCACAGATGAGGAGTTGCGTTTACTCTCTGCAAGTCGGAGCCTCGTGAAGATTGACCTTCAAGACTGCGAACACCTTACAGATGTGTCTCCTCTTGCATCTGTGAGTACTCTTGTGGTGATGAATCTCTCTGGCTGCAGAGGTGTGAAGATTGTTGGCGCCCTTGGCAGGCTGCCTGCGCTGCGTGAGCTTGACTTGAACGGAACTAGCGTCACCAACTGGGAGTTGGAGGATCTGAGTGCGAGTCGAAGTCTTGTGAAGATTGCTCTCTCATATTGCATGTACATCACAGATGTCTCTCCACTTTCATCCGTCCAGACGCTGGAAGAGGTGGATCTTAGTAGATGTAGGTATATGATGACTGTTTCTGTGCTTAGCAGGCTTTCTAGGCTGCGTGTGCTTCGGCTGGACGCCGATTCCTTCAACGGCCAATTGAAATCATTTAGACGGTCTGTAAGAATACACAAATGAACACTATCCTCATAAAGCCGTGCTCTTTTTGGTTTGACGTCTTTTTCTTTTTGTTATTGCCGTGGCAAAATTATTTTCCCTCTGTGACCGCAGTATACCCTTGGGGTACGTGCAGTTCTGCTTCTGGTTGTGTGGCGCGACCCCCCGGTGCTCGCTGTGTGCTCCGGTGCCCGGCCGACGATTCCAGTCTGCGCCGGGGCTCCTCCTGGGTGCGGAATGACACGCGTACTTAGTGCCCTGCGTGCCGGAAGCACTGTCAACAGAGACAAAGTTTTGTTTTCCTTTGTTTAATATGGGATGTTGGGTTGTGGATCTTTTATGTGCCTCAGGGGGGAAGCAGATGAGGTGAAACTACAATAGGGTTTCTTTATTTTCCAGCTTCTTGCCTGTTGCACTGGGAGGGCCTTATTGTTCAAAATAGGCCCCTCATGTGCCGTTGTTTCTTTTTGTTTGAAGCAGATTACTCCTAGATGGGCGCAGCTCTCGCAACAGGGGAAGCAGCGCGTGGGAAGTAACAACGCAACATATGATGTGGGGAAGGTGCTTTCCCACTGAAGAGAACGAGGTGGGCTGAGCCATGCGCTTATTTGTTTGCCTCCCGTTCTACCTGCCACTTTATGCTTCTCACGCTTTTTTGGTGTTGTCTTCTATTCGAGTAGACAGGAGAAAGGGTTCCGCGGCTCTTTTACTACTACGGACTGTGCAACGCAGATCCCCCATGCTATGTGTTGTGGGGTGCCTGAGGTTCGACTAGCGCCACTCTGCCTTGTTATGACTCCTCCGCTTGGAATGTGATTCAATCTCCTGAGGCTGGTGTGTGCGAACTATCTCTTTTCGTTTTGTTGATGAATGCGAGGAGAGCACTGTATTCCCGCTGCAATGCCTTCCAACCATTCAGCAGACCCCGAAAAACATTCGTCAATATGGCAACATCCATGCTCTGGTTCACCGCCACCTCGCTGTACCAAACTGGAGTGTGACAGCTTTGAGACAGGGAGCCACAATAACTCCAGACATTTGTGTGGTTTCGTGGGAGACATATGTAGCTCTGTGTTTCCTTCTCCGTTATGGTTATGTAGGCTATGTTTCCCATGCCTCTTGCAGCTGTTTAAAATGCCAATTCCACTGGGGGAATGCACCTTTCATTGCCTGTCGTCAGAAATCACAAGTGGATCGTCATTCAGATGCTTTGCCCACCGAAGCATGATGTGTGTGTGTGTGGCAGCCTGCTACTGCTTTCCGTAAGAGAACACTACACGTTCTCTTGCTCTTCACCTCCACTTTCTTTGGTGCAAATAAATGTTGGTTTTCTCTTCTGCGGGGCTGATCCTCTTCGAGAATGTGTTGGGCTCCACTACGGAAGAAAGGCGTCGTTCTCCTATATTGGTGTGTCGTTGCAGTTGTTGTCCTGCTCCTCGTTACGACTGATGATGTGGGTTTTGTGGAGGTGATCGCGGCATTCGTTGATGCTGTGCTGGTTGGGGGTACTCTTGGTGGATGCCAATGAAAAAAATGAAGGGTTACGTACCATGGTCTCCGGGGAGTGGCTCTGAGGTGTGAGGACGTCACAAGATTGTTTTGCTTCCTTGTGTGTGACTCTGTGAGAAGAAGAGGAAGACACCTTTGGGATACAGTGTGCTCTTGATTTGTGTAGCAGTCCCATCTGGGGGTATTTTAAAGATGTCAGCAACAACAGTTACATGCCGTTGTTTTGAAGGGAAACTGCGCAAGTCCCTGCTCCCACCTTTGGGTCTTTTTGGCGAGTTTTCTTCGGTGTCTTCCTGTTGTTCGGAGTCGCAGGGATCCAATGCTTAATTTATGGTTGCTGGGAGGTTCTGTTTGATGCAAACGGAAGAACATAACATTCGGAATCATCTTTATTTTGGTGGAAACACATGACGCTGTGTGAGGTGTGATGCCTTTGGATGGCCATTAAGATATGTGAGTGTGTGTGTGTGTGCTTTTAGCTTTTGAATTCGTCCGGAGGGAAACAAGTCTAGTTGAGTGGGAAAGTGTGTTGGGTTATATTGCTGCTTCGACATGTCCTTTACCTGCACATGACCTTGGTGAAGGAAACGATCAAAGAGCCCATCTTGCAGAAGTCGACACTAA